ACACTCCAGTAAATCAGAAAGCACACCAAGACTTATTTTCACATACAAGTGTAACAGACCTGACCCCAGGAGACACTTCATGAGGTTAACCCACAGCCCAAGGAGAAGGTTTACTGTAAACTGGCTGTGAGCTGATGCAGTTGAACTCGTTTTCACGGGAGGTGATGGAAACTTGGCACAGCTGTTTGATCTTCAGTGGACTAACACCAGTCACTACATAAACCAGTGGTCTGGCCCACCATGTTTGACCATTACAAGTCACCATTCCGATGCAAAATAGTCCCCAGGAAGTCCTCTGTGACACTCATCTCTAGACCTAGAACTAGTCAGATGCTGTCAGGAGTTGGCAATAACCAAACAGAGAGAGCAGAGATTATCAAACCATTATTTGGGGGCATTTCCCCCACCTTTGGGAAAATACATAAATTTTCCCCTCCATGAAATGAAGCGCACACTTCAGGTAGGTTTAACGAGTTAATACAGGAATGAGAACAGTTGCACATTCAAAAGAGAAGGTTTGTAGGAAACTATGTGGAATTAGCAGCAACAAAGAAGGCTTAGAGGGTAGATGGCTGAGAGGGATGAAGAAAGAAGAAACCATTTTACCACACTGCATAAAGTTATATATTTGGTACAGCATTCCTTCTAGAAGCAGACCTTCTGAAAGAGAAGGCAAGGCAGGCATTATGCTATCTATGAGAAGGTGAAGTGGTGTCAGCACACTTTTTAAGATGCTCTATAGTAGTAGTAGTAGAAGAAAGTAGTTAAAGATTTTAATCTCAAGCCCATCAATGGCAAACAAATTCTGAAGCAAACAAGATTTAGCTGAAAATTAAAAAAAACCCCTCAGTTGTAGAAGCACTGAGCAATTCTGCTGGTCAACTCTGGCCAGAAGAAAAGCAGCAGGAAGGGGAATCCAATCCAAGAGTATCTCAGATACTTAGATGCCTTCTGAAGTATCTCAGCATTTGCTGTATTTATGCTCCCAACACACCCCACAAAGAAGAAACTTCTGCTACCCCATTTTAGAAAGAAGAAAAGTGGGCTCAGTAAGAAGCAGATTCACAGTTATGGGTACTTATAATAATTGCTGACCTTAGCCTACCCACCTTTGGGCAGTCAGTGACAGAGAAGGTACCTGGGGGCAGGTTTCCCATGTCTTCAGCAAGCTCCAGCCATTGGACTGGTCTCTGATGAGACCTATACAACCATGCAGCACTAACCACCATTTACTGAAGAACTAGTGTCTGAAGCAGTAAAATTAGCAGGAGAGTCAGTAGTAAGCACCATAAGTAGTATAAGTACCGCAAACTACTTAAAAATATTGCTAACCTCCCCCAACCCTGCCCCCACCTCTTCCCTCAATCATTATTTCAGGAGACATATTTTTGTATAATTATTTCATCATCTAAGAACAGGTGGCCAGTTTGCCATATCTCTATGCAAGACTTCCATACATATTACTCCCTCCGCTGACATTTCCTCACATATACATGCATGCATGGATCAGCAATTGCTCCACTACATTCTCAAATGGAGAATAAGAGAGTCATAAATCTCAAAAAAAATGAGTGCGCCAAAAAATTCCGCATCTGAAGTTACAGCTGTTCCTTTCTCCTCTCTGTTCAGAAAGAGCCAGTCGTGGTTTATTGCAGATGTTATTGAAGTTGATGGACTTGCTCTAGATTTACATTGGATACACTCAGGATGTGACCCACTGGAGCGTTGGAACCTTCGTTTCCCCCTGGAGAAAAATACAGCCAGTGACATTCAAGTCGAATAGGAAGGCTGTACTCTCCCTCCCCAACCCCCGAGTATCTTCTGTCAAGACCCTCCGTAGGCAACAGCAGGATAAAGAAGCAGTAACTCCACCAAGGAGTGGGCTAACGTTCCTCCCATCTGCCAGTCGCACGCTCATTCTGTGTTCACTTGGACCAAATCCTCCCAACCCCTTCTGCTTTATACTTCATTAAACTTGGGTGCATCAGACACCAATAATAATATCATGGATCTTTGAAAGGTCACTTTCAAGGCACATTTCCATATCTTTTAACACCACTTCTCTTCCTCAGCCCTGTCTATAGTATTGTCTTGGAGGCCTGAAAATTAATTTCATAATTTCCATATTGAAACTGTCCCCTCGGCCCCGACGTACTTATTTATGACACCACCACCACAGAAAAACACTCCAGTCTTTGCTCCTGCAGATTCATTTCAATCTTCTCCACCTCCAGAGTCTGGAGTGCCCTCTGCGTCGGGGGCTGCACGTTCCCATGCCGAGGTGCAACCCATCCTGCCTCCCCCTCTGCAGGTGAGGGAGGGGAAGGGATGTGCAGTCATGGAGAAGCTGCACCGCTGCGGCAAGGGCAGCTCCCACGCGCAGGGGCACAGCACCGCGCCGCAGCAGAGGCCCCGCGCAGGCTGCAAAGGCTGAGCGGGCCTGGAGAGCGGCTGCAGCAGCGCGAAGCAAACAAACCAGGCAAAACCAAATTAAGACTGGTCCAGGTTGAAGCCTGGAGCCTAAAACTTTCATAGGGCAGACTGATTCATCCTAATGAACTGACTCACCTGTACCCAGCAGGTTAGCAGGGATGCCCGGCTCGGCAACTGCGGGAGGTAGGTAGAGGCTCTTGGCTTGAATCTGGCCACAAAAAATATTTCACACCCAAAGGGGGAAGATAAAAAGGGCAGAAATGAACAAAGCCAAACAGCTTTCCTCAAGGAGCCCTCCAGAATTAAAAGCAGAAGGGAGGAGAGTTTCTGCCCTGATGGCCTCAACAGCGAAACACCACCAGCAGCACGCGGTGCAAGCCGAAGGGCCATGCAGGATGCAGGTCTCGGGTGCAGGACACTGTTTCAGTCTGCAGTTAGAGCAGAGCTCTAAGGAAACACAGCACGATATCAACGATAATGATTCATCACATTCATTTTTCCTATACTCACTTGTCCTTACGTTGCCCTCGTGTCTTACTTTGCCAATGACAACATCAGCTCACACACAGGACTCATCCTCCTCCTCCCAGTCCCCAAATACTATGTCTCCCCCAGTACCAAAAAATGTGTGGGGAAAAGGAAAAAAGTCTTCTCTAAGCACCAGCTGACACAGTTTTATTCCTCCCTTTTGTTAGTCTCAGTCCCAGTTTAAGAAAAAAAACACCTAACGCAACACATACCAAAAACTCCCCCCATGAAGAAGGCACGCTTTGTTTCTGTAATTCTTAGTTCCTCTGCAAAAAATTCTGAGCTTGTGAAAACACCCACAAAAGACTTCAATAAATAGAAACTGCCTTTCACATAATTTCTGAAAACAAATGCTGGGCCAGCTCTGACCCTGGTGCAGCTGCTCTGGTTCAGGAGTCATGCCGGTGGGGTGTTTGGCCCTCTGTAATCTGGGCTACACGCTGTATCGTGTAGGATAATCTCCTGGAATGAAGGAGGAAAATCAAAGGAAGTCAAAAAAATTGATGCAGAACTATAATAGAAGAACACTTATTTTTCTACATGCGCTATTTTTTTTAAAGACATGCTGTCAGCTTTGTATCTTCAGACACAAGTACACAGAAAGAAATCCTACCTCTATTGGGCAGTCCAAAGCTATGCTACTGAGAGGTGGTTTTTTTAAGGCCATTAATTCATAATTTCTTTGCCACACCCTTATTCTCTCTCTTATCTTCTCCTAGTTTTTCTTAAATTGATAGACCCCTTGTTTGCAATGCCTCTAACAGATTCAAAGCAACAGGCAAGCACCTTTCATAAAGAAAAATAACAACAGCTGACCCATGCAGTTTCAGGCCTTTGAAATGCATCTCTCTTGTGCAGAAAGGGCCTGAGCTAAGCGGATAATTTCATAGTGAAAATTCAGAAAGCACATCTATATCCAGGTATGACTATAAAGTCAGTGTGCTTGTTCTTAGTACTAAGTATGATCAACAGTTTCCAGATAAGACATAAATAGAACATTTCCACTCAATAGCATCCCTTTAAGCCTGCCCCCAAAATCCAAACTTGAGGTACCTAAGGAGTTGGTGGCTTAGATTTTCACACTTTCATAACATTAGGGAACATATCAGCTGATGGGTGCAGAAGGGCTGCAGTTACCCGTGCTGGGGGACAGCATCACACAAGGGTCGGGGCTCTGCTGCGTGCTTTGCTCCTCTAACCAAACCCCAGCCTCAGCTCTGAAATGCTGCGGCATGGATTCCCGGTTTGTTGGATAAAGTGATCGGCTGGACAGGGAGGGTCCCTAGAGCAGCCAAGAGCAGGATGCTGACACTGGTCCACCCAAAGTCTAACTCTCAACTTGCAGTCAGCGTAGCTTTATCTTAGTTTCTCTGTCTGGGAAACAGTGTCTTCTAAACACTGTTTCTAGGGCTCTTGAGCCATTTAAAAAAAGAGAAGAAAAAAAAAAAAAAAAAAAAAGAGTTACAAGTTTTCTTTCTAATCTCCAGCAATCCCAAACACAAGATCTTAAAAGTCCTTGTCCTTTCAGCTGTGGTTCAGTTCGTTTTCTTATAGCAGAGAAAAAGTAAAACCAGAAAAAGTACCTCCTCCTCTCCCTGTTCCTTTATGATTAAAGATAGCATCTATATCTGTCTTCTAAAAGTCTAGCAAATAACTCAAACATATGAATCTGGAAGCTTTCACAAAGTATTTAGTAGTCCAAGAGCAGCTTCAGATAAGAAATCTTGCAATACACAGATCAAACGCGCAAGGGGTAAGAAAGTAAAAGATCAGCGTGGCTCTGAATCGGCTGGAGGGGGGAAAAAACCCCAGACACACCAAAAATCCAACAAACCCTCAACTTACAAAGATCTTTCATCACACTGCGTAACTCCGAGCGATCCCCTCGCCCCGCCGAAGGCACGGAGCCCGCAGCGGTCCCATTGCTTTACATATTCCCCTTTCCAGGCGTTCCGCAGGGAAGGACGGGCCCCCCCCTCACACACCCCCCCCCCCCCCCCGGACCCCGAGAGCCCACCGCGACCACAAAGCGACCGTACCGTCCCAAGTCCGGCGTCTGGCGCTGCTCCGCGGCGATAGTCGGCGACAGCCTTTTCCTCCCGACACCGATCGGCGGCCAGGGAAAGCGGCGGGGCCCGGACAGCGCTCCTCCTGCCGGGGGGGGCTCATGCCAGAGCGGGGCACCGCATGCCAGTGGGAATTACTGGGGGGGGGGGGGGAAGGAAGAGAAAAGGGGGAAGGCCCCGCCGCAGTCACCGCTGGGTGTCACGGTGATCCCACCCCTCCCGCGGGCTTTTCACGCGTGGAGCGCCGTAACTCCCCGCGGCACTATCCCGCACCCCCGCGCTTCGCCGGGGTAGGAGCGACACAAACAGCGATTTATTGGATTCGGGGTTTGTTTTCCCCACCCCCCACTCCCCCCGGCTAAGAGCACCACCCCACCCCCAGACCTCCAGCCCTCCCGTCCCCGAAGCCCCGCTCACCCGGGGCCGCGCCCTCAGCCGGGCAGCGCCGCCGGCCCCCGCCCCGCTCCCGCCCCGGCGGCCGCGGCCGGGCAGCCCGCACCCGGCCATCCCTTATAGCGCCGCGGCGGCTGCTATAAATAGCCCGGCCCCGCCGCCGGGGGCCGGGCCGGGTGCCGCTGCCGGGGGGGGGGGGGGGGGGGTGTGTGTGTGTGTGTTTCTCGGTGGACGACCGAGACCCACCGTCCCCGGCGGCGTGCTTTTCGCTTTTGACTTATTTTTACGCCCCAGCCCGCCCGTCGGGCGCGGGGCGGCGGCATGGCTCCCGGGGCGGGGGGGGGGGGGGCCGGGGCCCGCCGACCCCCGGCGCGGCAATGGGCCCGTCCGCCGCCGCGTTAAGGTGGACCGCGGCAGCGGGCGGCGGCACCTTAAGCCGCCCGGTGCTTCGCCTCCCCCCGGGGCCCGGGGGGCTGAAAGGGAGCGGGGCCACCCTCCGGGCCGCCGCCCGCGAACGAGGAGGAGGGTCCCACCCTAAATGGGGCTTCAGGGAACCCACGGGCAGCGGTCGCTTCTCCTCGCCCTCCTCTGTGCCCTTGGCACGGGGGGACAGGAGCGAAGCCGCGCTTCGCGCCTCGCCGGCGGACTCCTCTGCCACCTCGCCCCTTCCCCCGGCAGCCGACGGGAGCAAAAGTCCCGCTTCTGGGCGTGCGCTTCGGTTGTTTCCACCCGCTGCCTTCGCAGCGGGGGCCGGCAACAGCTACGTGAAAGTAATCCGTGTCGGCAGTGACCGGGGGTCTGGCTCTGCCCCGTGTCCAGTCACGGGAGCAGCTCGGGCACAATCCTGCAGGGCGCTCAGGGATGAGCCGGGTGCCCAGAGCATCTCAGGGCACTGCGTTTCGGCATTTACCTTGCTGGGTCACAGCCCGCTTCTGGGCTGGTTTTGCAAAGCAGATGTGGATGACTTGAACTTGGGTTTTGCAGGCAAGTGAACACCCCCAGCCCCCGTCCTGTGCCAAATCAGCATTACTTACACCCAGCTACTCCATCAAAACATCTACCCAAGGCAGGCCTGCACAAAACAAGACGGAGCCTCCATGCTGTCTTTTCCCACACAAGTAAGAGGCAGAGAGGACCACGCTGCCATTTTACAAGCAAGATACACAAGCGTCTGCCTCAAAATTTGCATTGGTCCAGCAGCACGGAGGAGGTAAGAGGGAGCAGATCCACAACCAGCAGCCACAGCGTGCCTGGCCGCAGTGCCCGTGCCGGTTTACCCTGCAAATTCTTCACTAATCCCACCCCATCTCGAGACACAGGAGACACCTCCGATCCTGGAGAAGCCCCGCAGGCTTTCCTGACCAAACTGCAGGACAGAGGCGTTTTGCTCGCATGAATCAACAGCTGGGTTTGTGAGACACGCGTTTGTCAACAGGAGTCACAGGTTTGCATGTGAATTTGGTGCAAAACCCGGCTCCTCTGACTGCAAATTTTCCTTCTGGGACAAAACAGTCTCCTCAGTTTTCCGAGGGCAGACTTTGTCAGCAGCTTTGTGTAGCTCAGTGATGGAGGTGGCTGGCTACAAACAATCTGTTTTTTTGCTATCAGCCCATTTTGCCACGAGTGAGGGCAGCACTGGCAATGCTGCCTGTAAACAGTACCTATCAGTTGGTCTCGAAACACAGCAGGTCATTCATAAACCCTCAAAAGTGTGGAAATATTGTCACTAAATGCTGGGGGGACAGCAGTCCTGGGACTGTTAGGCCAAAGGTTTCATGTTCAGGTCTTTAAATCTGAGCATCCATCTAGGTACTTGGGCATCTTAGATCACCCTTCAGAGCAAGTACATTTCTGATTCTGTGGAGATAGCTGTATTTTTAAACCAAGCCCAATATCCAATATTCAGACACCCAAACCTGAAAATATCTTATGCATTTCATACCAAAGTCAGTAACATTTGAGAGGAAAAACCCATGGCCTGGCTCCTGCACATCGAGTCTTCGGGGTATTCCTCGGTTCTTGGTAGCCTTCCTATCCATAAGAAATACTAAAATGATGTAAGGAGGAAAGCCAAAACCTTCTCTTTCAATTCCAGCCAGTATCTGGAGCAGCATTAAATTTCGTGTAGTGTGTATTAGTTAACAACGTTGCTAGAGGGGAATTGCTGCTGTGGTTGAGCGCTTACACAATACAACTCCTATTTAAGTGCATTTTTGTATCCTGCTGAGTCACCCCAAGGAGCCCTCAAACAAAACTTCATGTTCAGTTTAACAGCAGAGGCAGTGGCATGAAAAGCCCCCCTTTTACCAACCCTTCCCCGGCAGGATGTGAGTGCAGGATGGGCAACGCTACAAACTGTGGAACTTAACGCAAAGCTAAAAGAAAAAAGTGCCTTAAAATTTCAGCCAACATTTCCCCCCATACAGCTTTAAGCACACATTTCCAGTCTGTTTCAGCTTCACTTAATAGATTAAAGTGACCATACAGTCTCTGAACCGCTCATGTCAGACCATACTTCAGGTGAACTGTTTCTAAATAAGAGGACTCATTATTTGGATAACATAATATTCCACTATTAGGGCTAGATGAATGCGACTGTTTATTATCCCATACTAAAGCTGAGTGGGTTAATGCAGCACGAGTCCCTTGGCTTATTTTGCTGGCAGCAGCCTTTTGGGCTGACTGAGGATGCTTCCCTTGCCCACCCTTGGCACACTGCATGTTAGCTGAGGTCTGCAGCGGGCAACTGCAAGCACAGAGGCTTGAGCAGACTGGCAGCAAGGCAGGGACTGTTTGCACCCAAAAAAAGCGCAGTGTTTCCTCGGTAGGAACAGTGCAACGGGTAAGATTTTTGTCTGTAGAAGTTCCGGCTGGTGCCACGTAGCCGGGGATAAGAGGTCACTGCAGAGAAGGCAGAGAGTGGAGATGAGGTCTGAGGGCACGCAGTGGTCCTCCCATGAGCTAACCCAAAGCACTGCTGGCATCACTGCCTGGAGGGCAGCTGGGTTGTGCTGGAGCAGGGAGCTGTACCTGACTGCACCCTGCAGAGGTGCACGCACCATCCTGCACCGGATCACACCTCCCTAAAGTGGAGCCCCACAGGTTCGACCTTTGGTGTTCAGTTTGGAGGAGAGCACAAGGAGACCAAAGCCTGAGCCCTGCCTGACGGTTGCAAATGAACTACAGAGGCAAAAACCCGAGGTGCTCCTACTACATGCCAAATGGCTCAAAAGCCACACAAAACCAATACATTAGCTTTGCTGTCACTGTAAGTCCAGTCAGTCAGAGGCAGCAGATCACTCCTTCAGGCTACAGGTGAGGACTATTGCTGTGTATCTATGGTCTAGAAACAATGAAGCTATTAAAATAGACGGTTTAAACAGCTGAGATTCGTTTCACTGAATTTCTGTGTGGTGCTTGGCACAGACTACGATAAAGCTACTTAGCAATAGAGGACATCTAGTGATATTCACATGCAACTACATAAACCCGATAAAAGTTCACGTGTGACTGCTTAAGAGCCAGCCTGGCCAAAGATGAGATATGGTGTGGCTGTAACAGCGGCAATAGGGCTGTGACAGTCTGACCACACAGAAGCCACTATAAACAGGTCACAAAGAAATGAGTCCTGAGGTGCTTTATACATAGAAGACATACAACGAAAGCATAGACAGAAAGCTCAGGGGAGCTGGTGGTGCTGCACCTTCTAACAAGGAGACATTACAGGGAAGCACAGAGCTTTTATTTCTACAGCAAAGACCCTGTAAGGCAGGGATACAGAGATTAAAATCAGTAGTTTTCTTTCAGGAGTCTTTGCTCTTATCTCAATTTTCCTTTCATGTGACTCACCCTGAGCACACACAGTGAACGTCAGCCTCAAGATCAAGATTTTTTTTTTTTCCTCCCCTAGTACAAGATATCAGCCCTTTCTCCATACCATTTCACAGCCTGCCGTTCTTTGTTTTAGGAATGATACACAGAATACTTTCCCCCTCTAGGTTATTTATAACAGGGGATTCTCTAGAAGTATTTTTCCGGACATATTCCAGGCCTAGGATGAGAGATTTGGCTGCAAAACAAAGAGACTGCCAATTTGGTTTCTAGAAAGACAAGGATCAACAGAGCATTATAAAAGAACATGCTTCCCTAAGGAAATAGACTCATTTTAGCTGGTACTTCCTCTGAATGGAATTATTCCTCTTAAGATCACCATTAATTTAGGAATAAGAGCTTCACACTTGAGACCTCACCAACTCACACTATTATTTTCAGGTGCACTCAGTTTACAGGTGTTGAGGAAAGGTGGGACTTTATTACTCCTAATAAAGTACAAGGAAAGTAACTTTCTGCTGGCCAGATTAGATCCTTGAGAATAGCTGTGCAAATCTACAGTGGGCAAAAGTTTGTGGCTTAGCTGCCCGAACTAGCTTCAGCTCAGCAAACAGGTCTGATACAGGATCTGAGTGGTACCTGGCTATTAAATGATGGCAGCAGACCAGGACTGGGAATAAACTCCAACCAGTGCAAGCAGAGAGCAACCACAGTATTAGTGAGCAGCCAGACAAGACTGTATCTCTACCAAATCATTTCTCTGGGCTGAATTACACGTTGAAGGCTTGATACTGGACACTTTTGCAGTGAGAACTGAATATGAATTTGATGAGCATAGATATCTACTCAAAATGCGAAGGATGGTGTTGAAAGGCCACAGGGACACAGGCAAAAGAACAGAGGAAAAGGCTGTATTAGCCAAGACGACTCTGCAACAACTGTTGGCTCTTGTGCCCTTCATGCATTTATGTTATTTATCAATGGACTCTATATTTAGCAATCATAAGACCAGAGCGTGGAGCAGCCCCAGCTCCTTGCTGGCGAAGGAGCTCTCCGGAGGGCAGCTGGTGGCTAGCAGGGGCTGGCACAGCTCTGAGAGCTCCATGGTAGCTGCTCGTACAAGGAGGGAGTCATTTCTCCAGCACACTGAGTCATTGTAGGAAGGAGACAGAATCTTACCCAATTTCCTAAAGCAGAACAGCTCTAAGCTCTCTTGTGATGAAACAAAAGCTGGCAGAGCACATGCTTTTATGTAGCAGACAGGG